GAAGATGGGTTTGGGTTGCGTCCTTATGCAGCAAGGGAAAGTCGTAGCCTATGCTTTGAGGCAGTTGAAGCCTCACGAGCAGAACTACCCCACTCATGATCTTGAGTTGGCCGCTGTTGTCCACGCTTTGAAGATCTGGAGGCACTATCTCTATGGAGGCAAGTGCGAGATCTTTATCGACCACAAGAGCTTAAAGTACATTTTCACTCAGAAGGAGCTGAACATGAGGCAGCGTAGGTGGTTGGAGCTGGTCAAGGACTACGACTGCACCATTAGCTACCACCCGGGGAAAGCTAATGTGGTGGCCGATGCCCTTAGTCGGAGGAGCCATGGCCAGTTGTCTTGCGTGTTCACCCAGCAGGATGTTCTTCTTCGGGAGTTCGAGCGATTGCAGTTGGAGGCGGTGGAGTCGGCTTCGACAGCCGGGAGTGTGTTGGCCTCTTTGGTTGTGGGATCGACTCTTCGAGAGAGGATAGTCGCCGAGCAACCGAATGACCGTTTCCTATGCCGGATGAGGGAGTTGTCAGCAGCCGGTAGAATTGGTGGATTCGCAGTCGCATCCGATGGAGCCTTGGTCTTCGAGGGTAGACTTTGTGTTCCGAGGGTGTGGGAGCTACGGAGAGAGATTTTGAAGGAAGCCCATAGTGCCCCGTACACCATCCATCCTGGTAGCACGAAGATGTATCAGGACCTGAGGAAATCCTTCTGGTGGCGAGGCATGAAGAGGCAGATAGCGAAGTTCGTGGATGGGTGCCTGGTGTGTCAGCAGGTGAAGGCTGAGCGCCAGAAACCGAGAGGATTGTTGCAGCCTCTGGAGGTTCCCCAGTGGATGTGGGATTGCATCGCCATGGATTTCTTGGTTGGACTGCCGAGATCAAGAAGCGGGCATGATTCGATTTGGGTGATAGTGGATCGCCTTACGAAGTCTGCTCATTTCCTGCCTGTCCGGACGACCATGAAGGCGAGTGATTATGCCGAATTGTTCGTCAAGGACATTGTCAAGCTTCATGGAGTGCCTGTGGAGATTGTTTCGGATCGAGATGCCAAGTTCACGTCCCAGTTCTGGAGGACATTGCACCGAGCCATGGGGACGAGGTTGGAGTTTAGTACATCCTTTCACCCCCAGACCGATGGTCAATCGGAGCGTGTAATCCAGTACATGGAGGATATCTTGAGGGCTGTAGTATTGGACCGAAGCCTGACTTGGGAGTATGCCCTTCCGCTAGTCGAGCTGATCTACAACAACAGCTACCACTCTTCAATCAAGATGTGCCCGTACGAGGCCTTGTACGGACGTAAGGTCCGGACTCCTTTGTATTGGGATGAGGTTAGAGAGAGGAGGATCACAGGACCAGATTTTGTTCAGAGTACTGCTGCGACCGTTGAGGAGATCCGGAAGGCCATCAGGTCCGCCCAGGAGAGGCAGAAGGTCTATGCCGACCGGGAGAGGCATGAGCATGAGTATGCGGTGGGAGATCATGTTCTTCTGAAGGTTTCGCATGCGAGGGGTGATTCGCTTCGGGAAGAGAGGGAAGCTTAAACCACGCAATATTGGGCCGTTCGAGATCCTCGACCGAGTCGGGAACTTAGCGTATCGGCTGGCTTTACCACCAGACTTGTCGGGTGTGCACGACGTATTCCATGTCTCGATGCTTCGGAAGTATGTGCATGACCCTGATCATGTCGTGGAATTCGGCGAGCTGCAGGTCGAGCGAGACCTTACCTATGAGGAGGTGCCGGTAGCTATTCTGGATCGGAAGGTCAATCAGCTGAGGAACCGGGCAGTGAGCTTGGTGAAGGTGTTGTGGAGCCGACACGATGAGACCGAGGCGACTTGGGAGAGGGAGGACGGTATTAGGAGGCGTTATCCGAACTTTGAGTTCTGAGTTCTCCTTTGTATCTTTTATCGCTTTCTAGTTTTTATTTTCGAATTCTGAGGTCGGAATTCTTTGTAAGGTGGGTAGACTATAACGCCCCGGTTGATTATGAAT